CTCAACATGCAAGGCTGTAAAGTTTTGCTTTAATTCCAAAAGAAATACATGTAGTGTCTCACTTGAATCGATGGAAAAGGGTGGAATATTTTTTTCAAGCCGTTGAATTTGAAATGCAATTTTTGGCCTTTGATTATTCATATCACAACCAAGCTTTTGAATAATGGCTTTCAAAAAGGCATCAAAGTCCAAATTAGCAACATCCCAAAACAACGAAGTTATATTCTTGCCCGTTCCACTGTAAACATACTTCCCTTCGTGATCTGTGGTCCACTTTCCACCATAAACAACATATAATATAACAGAATCTGTACCCATCTGCAATCGAAAAAACATAAACAACAAAAAATATCACATTTAAGTGTAGTCGAAATTCATCGAAAGAACGTCGAATAGTCGAGACCAATCGAAATAACGTCGAATATTCGTAAATGTTCGTATGGTTTCGCAGACTATGTTCGAATAGGGTTTATTTCGGAGTAGGGTTTATTTCTATCTTAGAAATGTAGGGTTTACCATAAGATATGTAGAATCATAACACAATTGGCTCAATTAGAATCATAACTCTTTATTGTAAAGAAAAATTAGGGTTTGTAATCAAATTTTGGGTATCGAAAATTAGGGTTTACCGTAATCTCTTTCTGCTCTTTTTCCTTCTTCTGCGCTACGCAATAGCGAAGAAGAAAGGATGTTTAGGAGAGCTAAACAAAAAAAATCATAACTCTTTAGTGTAAAGAAAATTTAGGGTTTGTAATCAAATTTTGGGGTATCGAAAATTAGGGTTTACCGTAATCTCTTTCTGCTCTTTTTCCTCCTTCAGCGCTACGCAATAGCTTCTAAACGCGTTCCCAAATCTTATCGTTTTGCTGTGCTTTCAAATTAGGTTGCCGATTTGCAGAACGAATGTGTAGTGTGCGTACGATTGAGGAGCTGAAAGGCATGAAATCGTTAATTTCGGGTCGGGTCAAAAAAGGGGGAAAACTGAAATAGTTAATTTCGGGGCGGGTCAAAAAAGGGGGGAAATTGTTAAACGGCTGTGGAACGTAATTAGATTCTTTCGACCATGGCTTCCGAAGAATAGGGGTAATTTGGGAATCTCACATGCTAATTTTTCGTGCTTTTCAGTGAGGGTAGATAGAGGGTAGTCTCATAATATCAAACCTTTTTTGGACATTTTTATAAGAGAAACCTTTTTTTAGGGCACTCTAGCTAGAGTGCTAGAGGTAATAAGTTAAGGGAATAAGGGGTGGGTCATGGTGGACTGGGCCTAGACTTATATACATATATACGGAGTATATACTTCGTAATACTTTAAAAAAATTGTGCCCCTAAAATTTTTGGGCCCGGCCCGGACGGACACCTTGTCCCCCTATTGGGCCGGCCCTGAACAAAATAAAATGAATAAGTCAAGCAAGTCACATCATCTTATGAAAAATAGTCTAAGGGCATATTATGGCTAATTATCATCTAAAATACGTGTGATGAAATGACAATGTGGTGACTATGTGATGAGAGTGCAAATTGGAAAAATAAAGAACTTGGTTGTTCCAATTCGATGGCATGTACGTCTAAGTGTGTTGGTGCAGTGTGCACCTTTTATTTTCTTATGATTGTATGTTGACAACAAAATAGAATGATTAAGTCAAGCAAGTCACATTATCTTATGAAAAATAGTCTAATAGGGCATATTATGGCTAATTATTATCATGGGTGGCCCGGAGGGTGTGCAAAGTGGCCAACTGCACAGGACCCTTAAAATTTTAGGGTCCCATATTTTTAAATTCGGCATTAGTTTAAAGCATAAGTATTCTAAAAACTTAAATAAGGCCCAAAATATAAATTTTGGACCGGGCTAATTTTATATTTTCATTTTTCGTCGCTGGCCCTGATTATTATCTAAAATACATGGGATGAAATGACAATGTGGTGACTGTGTTATGAGAATGCAAATTGGAAAAATAAAGAAAAAAATAAAAAAAGCTGATCGATCAACTGCCGAGTACCACCAATCAACGCTAACGACTGCAGTGGGGGACAATGTTCTGGCGACCCATGGCAACGGCAGATGGTATATTGGCATCGACATATGTTAGTGTGGCACAGGTTGATAATGCGCGCGGACGGCGTGGGAACTTCTATTTAATACGAGTGCTTGAAAGAGTAACACTCAACTTTTGTATTTTCATACTTTTTTATTTCTATTAGGAAGTTCTCCTATTTTTATCGGGGCAGTTCCCATGAAATTGCCTGGCAATGTCATGGGATGATCTAGAGGCTCCGGTACTCTGTTCGTAAAATTGACGGTTCTTACTCTTAACTCCCCGGTAAACCTCCCACCCTGCCCCAACCTGATCGAACACACCTCCACCCTCTTTATACTTATCTCTAATGCTGTGTTTTTTACCTCTTAGCATAGCGGTGAACCGTTCTCTAACTTTAATTTAATCATGTCCCTCCAATAGTGGCAAGCATCAACCTTTAGTGTATAATCCGAAAGATCTGCTTCTTTGATGTATCTACTATGAATCCATTTAACCCGCAAGATATCTTTTTTGTCAGCAATATCCCAATTTTACTTCATTATGGTGGCTTTATTCCAGTAAGAGGCATTCTTAATCCCCAACCCTGGCCTCCATAATTCTTTTTCTAACAAACTTTAAGTATTTATAAGAATTCCCCCATAAGAAGTTCTTACAAATAGCCATTATTTTTTCATAACTTGCTTGGGCAGGTGAAATTGACAGTCGTCTATTTTGAGAGTGCGTTGTTTCTCAAACCATGACCAGTTCATGTTTTTCTAAATTCAACTTTCATGATAAATTGGTTAAGTTTCAAGATTTTGAGGCCATCATACAAAAGACCAGTTCGAAGAAGAGCAAACTACAGGTGTTGACAATTTGGGAAAGATATGTGTATAGCACTAGACTTTACCCGTGCGATGCACGGTAAGAATATTATACTCCGGAGTATAATAAAACTATGGAGTACAATAAAATTTATAGATAGCTAAGTAAAGTTTGTCTCATTGTAACAATGGATTTTTTTGAGCAGTTGTGATGGACTCTAATAGTAGACGTGATACCCGGCCATTTTTTCTCATGTAACCATATTACATTACAAAAATTAAATTGAACAAAAGTTACAAAATTTGAAATTTTTTAATAAACATTTAAAGTGTGATAAAAAATACTCCCTCCGTCCCTAAAAGTGTTTCTCCTTTAGTTTTTTTTGTCCCAAAAAGTGTTTCACTTTTCACACTTTTTGACCCTAATACCCTTTACCCTAATTAAATCTACCCAACCCACCCAAACCCCTCCACCTACCTTATCCATCAATTCACTCATACCCCACCCACTCATCTACACTCATCTCCGTCTCTTTTATCTGCCTATTCCACTTCCCCGTTGCCGGCACCCTTCTCTCTTCAGATCTCCCTTCTCTTTTTCTTTGATTGATCTAAATTTTTTTATGGGGATTCCTGATCCTACGATGCTAAGCTTCAAGCTATTATCTGATAGTGATGAGGAGAGATTGGCTCTTACGCCTGTCCCAACTACTTCAAAGCCTTGAATCCCTGATTATGACTCTGGGGATAGTGGATCTGGAACCTCTAATACAGATCCAACATGGTGGTACCGGAAAAAATATCTAGGGGTGACTTTTTCCCTTAAGAGGAAGAAGAAGGCTGTGTCGAAGATGGGGAAGAGGATGAAGATGATGAATCTGTTACCTCCGAACAGATCCTGGCGATGTCTGATACATAAATTGTTTTCGAAGAGCCATATGGAGAGGAGGTGAAGGCACTTCGCTACTGGAAGAGTAATTTCGCTCTACTCTTTAATTTTACTCTCTAATTTCTGCATGCCCTAATTTTTTCTGAAGTGGCAAACTTATGATGCAAACTTCTTACAGATTTGGCAAAGTTGTAATGTCACCCCGTATAGGTTGGAGACTTATATTACTGAATACTTTTATCCATTTGGTCAACCCTTTGTCTGTTTTGTGCCAAAAGTGTTGCGGTGAGAGTATGATTGTGTGCTTTATTCATTCTTCTCTGCCAGTGATTCAAATCTACACTGCAAATTGCTCTTTAATTTCTTGTTGATTTGTTCTGATAAGAACTGAAAATGCTTATCAAATTTTTTCTGATAAGAACAGATGCTACATTACATCCAGATGCTACATTACATCCAACTGATAAATACAGATGCTACGAACATTATATCCAACTGATAAATGTAGATGCTACATTTAGAGACTACCTTTACTGATAATAACACATGCTACACATAGTCAAATGCAATACTGATAATTATACAGACTACACTTGCATTACAAAAACCTAAAAAATATCAAGTAGAACTCCAACTAAGTCAGATACACCACTTGTCAATAGCCTTCCAAAAACTTGTGCAAAAGGAGTCAATAGGAAGTACATAGAGGCATGGTACTCTTCCTTTCCCATGTTGCACTAACAAAAAAAGTACCCTATCAAAAGGTACTCACATATGCCCCTGTAAGTACACTTGTGCAGTGTGATACACTTCTGAGCTGACCCCTAAATTCTGTGGTAATGTTCCTTCTCTGGCCATCTTTGTTTTGTTCATGTGAGGGATTTTGAACTGGTTCCCCCCTTTGTTATTAAGAACCTCACCCATCACACCTTGAAGTGTCAAGAATACTCTATTAAGTGTGTCATGTGAGAGCTCTTCAAAAGCTGTAGTAATAGCAAGAACCAAGTTTGCCAAAGACCTAGGAGCAGCTTGGTCTTGCAATGTGTCAATAGATCTAAAGAATCCAAGATCAAGTACATTTAGGTCTGGGCTGTTTGGAGGCTGGAATTTCAATTCAATATTCCAGTCTCCTTCATGTCCTGCTGCTAAAAGATCAGGGTCATTACCATCAACATGAGGCTTTGCATTATCTTGACCTTTGAGCTGCAGCTTCATAAGTGAATGGGAATATGCCTATTTTCCCATCCCACAAAACTTCCCCATGCTCCACATACCTTGGCCTACCAACAGCAGCTAGGAACATTATTTTGGGTATGTGACTTTTGCTTTGAATGGTTCTGTATGGGTCTATCTCATCAGGCAGAGCATAGAAAGTTGTGCTTTTTTTTGTGATCTCAAACCATTTTTCATCAATATGAATATGATCATAAAAGTCATGAAATATTGGGTTCATGGGGATTGATAGGGGAGAAATTTGCTCTAGACAGAATTTAAGCCTTTTCAACTTACCTGATTCACACAGTAATGGCTTTATGGCATTTGAATGCCTCCTAATCTGCTTTAACTGAAGCCATCTATGGACTGTGGATTTTGATACCCCCATTCCATAGCTTAGAGCTGCCATTTTTTCAAAGTCCACAACCATCTTTTTTCTGCCACAGTTTCCTTTCCACTTACACTCTACAACAATGGGTTGACCTCCCTGGATTTGAGCCTGAACTACCTGCCAAATGCTGCTTACAGTTCTACTTGTAATGCTGAATTCTTCAGCCTGTTTTTTTATGGTACCATGCTGAAGTTTGCCATTCCTACAATGTTGTAGTAACTAATCCGCAATTCTTTTCCTTCTTTGATTTAATAAAGCACCTTTACTTTCGGATTGTGTTTCTGTTTTTGTTTCAGGGGTGAAAAGATTGGGTAAAGGGACTTCAATAACTTGGGGAAGATGGTCAAAGGAAGAAGAATCATCCTCGGAACAAGTAAACGAGGGCGATGGAGAGTGCAACGGGGACTCAAATGGAAGATTCATTGGAGAAGGAAGGAAAAAAAATGCAGGAGGAGGAATGCATTCAATGTATTCATTTGAGTAGAAGTGTGGTGGGTTTGTAATTAGAGTTTGCTATTTTTGGAGGGATGTCTCTTGAGGGAATTTCGAAATTCTCCAAAAATAGCCAAATGTTTTAAAAACATGTTTTGGTGTGTATTTGAAGGGATTCATTTGCTGGTGTTGTACTTTTGCCTAACCCCCATCCTTACCCTCGTGTGTGTGGGAGGGGAATGGGTTGTTTTTTTATTCTCAACAACTATTGGATTTGATGGGCAAGTACACTTCACATTAAATGCAATTTACTTTACACTATTTGCTTCTCTTTATTAGATTAGGGTTGAGGGTAAAATTGTCAAGTCAATGAAAAAAATTTAGCCCCTTAATTTGGTTGAAAGTCAAAACAAGAAAAGGAAAAAGGGGCAGAGGGAGTACTATTTTGATCATTGCAATTTAAGATCTTCCATTCTTGTTGGTATCTTGCATGCCAAACACCAACATGATTACCCTTGAGTTTTATCAATTATCACTTCATATGAGTACATGATAGAAAATTATTTTCTTAAAAACTTGAACGACAAAAAATGTAATCAAATTCCTCAATTGTAGATTTTTGAAGAAAAAAATCAATTGTAGATTAAAAATAGCATATCGACTTAGCATTGCAGAATCAAAGTTAAAAAATTAAACTACCAAAGAAGTTATTCTTTTGGGCAATTACAAAAGATTTATCATCGCATGTGAGCAACTTGTTAACAAAGTGAATTTATTTATCTTGTAAATAAACCAAAATGAAAAATATATAGACAGTTTCTACATTGTAATAAAGTTAACAATACTCAGAAATGAGAAAAATAATATCTATGAGTAAAAGAAATTCTCCAGAGTATCATATTAATGACTTTGAGTAAAGCAACATACAACGTTGTAAATTTAAACAATAAAAAATATACCAAATGATTCCCAAACACTCTAGACCACCAGTTTGTTGCCATATTCCACCCAAACCTTTGCCCATGGCTTCCATATTAGGTGGAGCAAATACAACAAAACAATAAAATTGCACACCATTCACTTCCTCTTTTTTAAATTGTAGTTCCTTATTTGTTTACTTTGTGTTAAAGATCTCCCTTGATACTCTTTCTCCTCTATGCAGATTTAAGATGTAGTGAATCATCAAAAGATGTGATGCTCCACCTCTCACATGCAAATAACCAATCAGGGCTAGTATTTGATATACTCCGTATTTGAGAAGAAAAATAAATATAACAATGTCATGAGATTGGGGAGTGAAGTATTTGTAGGGCAAAAGAGGTTGTTAAGGAGTAATTTGCTCGGTAGGACTACAATACCTGAGGAGAAATCATCCCAATGGATACATGTAAACAACAACAATTACAAATTTATATTCTTAGTATTAACATAACATAGCATTAATTAATTATTCAAAACTCGCTACAAAATATAAAGCGACAATCTAAGATTTGTTAAAAATCTAAAACTTTCCACAATCATCTCACCTAAAAATTTGTAAAGCATCTACCACGTAAAATAATTACATACATTACACATGGAACGACCCTTAGAGTTGATTCATCATTAAATGATCAAAAATATTAACAATTTTTTTTTATTGAAAATAACGTCAACATTATATTAGTATTGATTTAAAAGCAATTCATCTTTACATCATTAAAATGGCTAATAACCCAAAATTACAAACCCTTTTAAAGACACATACAAACTACCCTTATTTGACGTATCAGTACAATTATGAAGCAAATATGTTTAAAAAGTGAATTAGAGTAATGATTGAATATTATGATATTTTTATTCTCCATACATTTTAAGCTCTGTGAATAAGTTAATCAAGCCAAACAAATTCACCACCATAACTTTAGGATCTTTAAAAAAATCAAAGATACCTGAAAACTATATAATTCCATCATCGACACTGCATAGGATCTTTAAGCTCTGTGAACTCATAGTGCTATGTTTTGTATACCTACAGTCTTAAATAAACTGTGAAAGAACCAAACAATGTGAAAGACAAATTATAAAATGTGAACCAATCTCTCTAAAAACAATGTGAACCAAACAATGCTATCATCACCAATCTCTCTAAAAACCAAACAATGTGAGAGAACAATAGTTAAAAAATGCAGGTATAGACAAATTAAAACACATGACATGACATGCTACTTTAAACAACATTGATTAGCAAAAGATTTAGAGAATAGAAATCCAACACAAATTAAGCAAAACAAAAAAGTTTTAAAATGCAGCAAACAATGTTTACCATGGTTGAAATGTTCTTTTTCCCATCGGTTGCTCAAATGAGCCGCCTATGTTAATTTTTTTCACCAGCAGTCTTCATTTTTATTCCGTTGGGATTTGGACTTATCAGAAGCTGCACACTCATGATAGAGAACGTTAATATTTTAATCAATAAATAATGCAGCAACGAAATGTAATACGAATATCAAGAATAAATTACAGTGTTTAAGAGTGACCCAAACAGAACCCTTTTTCATAGTTCGCTCAAACATGTTTGTCAATTAATTGAGGAATGGATCTGGCTCCCGATTGTTGTGGGTCCAGCCCATTTTCATTTGGGTTCCTTTTTCTTTGGTGGAGGGCCCAATTACGTTTTTACTTTGTTGACTAAAAAAAAGGAGAGTAAAAGGGCTGGGCAGTGGCAGTGCTTACGGGAGAAACGGAGAGAGAGCAAATAGAGAAACAAAAAACAGAACAGAGAGAGCGAGAAGGGCTGGTGCAGATTTTTCAGACCAGCTGCACAAATTCGATCATCGCCAGAGATCCGACCGTTGGATTGAGCTGAAATTTTCAGAGATTGTTCCCAACACTTAGGGCTTCAATCTGTTCAATTTTCATATCAATCGGAGCTACGGATCTTCTGTAATCGCAGCTAGTGCGACGCTGCGTTTTTTAGTGATATCTCTGATTTTTCTTCTCTCTTGTTGATGGCTCTTATGTATGTTGTTGTTGGTGGGCTGTGACATCCTTGTAGACTGAGTTTGGGTGTTTTTACCCTCAATTTGCATAATAAGAAAAGAAGAGGGCAGACTCCCTATAAGTCCCGTGGTTTTTATCCTTCACATCGAAGGGGTTTTCCACGTATAAAAATCGTGTGTCGCTTGCATCTTTATTCTTCATATTTGGTTGTGGTTTATTTGATGTGTTGCTGATTTTGTGTGCTCGGTTAATCAATTGTGGTAAATTGGGTTAAGTGTTTGGTTGGTTGTCTTGAAGTTGATCCTTGTAGGTGTCGTATCCTACTTGTTGCTTCTCCCCCAACATTTGGTATCGGAGCTAAGGTTTAAACCGTAGATATGGAGTCCGGAAATAATTCTATGGTTAAATTGACATCAACCAATTATTCCATTTGGCGTCCTATGATGGAAGATTTGTTATATTGTAGAGATTTGTTTGACCCAATTGATGTGGATAAAACCAAGAAGGATGACATGCCTACTAAACCAGAGAAGATGACGGATAAAGAATGGGAAAAATTGAAGAGAAAGACCTTGGGAACTATCAGACAGTGGATTGATATTAGCATATTCAATCATGTATCCCAAGAGACTGAGCCACTCGAGTTGTGGAGAAAATTGGAGGGTCTTTATGAGAGAAAGACTGCTCATAACAAGGCCTCGTTGATTAAGAGGCTTGTTAGTCTCAAGTTGAAGCCGGGAAAATCTGTTTCTGAGCATCTTAGTGATTTTCAAGATATCATTAACAAGTTGACTGTGATGAAAATTGTTTTTGATGATGAGTTGCAGGCTTTATTCCTATTGAGTTCTTTGCCAGATAGTTGGGAGACTTTGGTTGTGTCTATCAGCAATTCAGCTCCAGATGGTGTGCTTTCATTGGATGTCATTAAAGAGAGCATGTTCAATGAAGAGCTTAGAAGAAAGGAGATGGGTGTTGACATTTCACAAGCACTTGTGGTAGAGCGTAGAAAATAGAGGAAGAATGGCATCCTGACGATACCACAAAGTGTACGCAGGGTTAGGTTACTTCTGTGCAGCATCGAGAAAAGGAGAAGGCACTGCAACGGAACCTTCGATGTAGCCAATGAGATCAAGACCAATGAATGCGGTCTGAACTTGATGGTGCTAAAACAGATACTTGGTTTTGGTTAATTCTATGGGGAAATGTTTAGAGGCAGACATGCGAATAAGGCCCGATGAAGGTGACGAACCAGAATCCACGGAGCCAGAGCCGGAGATTGTCATAGCAATCGGCAGACAAACAAAAAGAAAAAAAAGCTATTTAAAGTAATGAGTCTGATACCATAAAGGAGATTAATGAGTGATTGAATTGATTAAACATTCACACCAGCATGGGCGTATTAATACACATGCACAGCAAACTAAAAGAGCTACTTACAAGGAGGAGTTAAAAGAGCTACTTACAAGGAAGAGTTAAAAGAGCTACTTACAAGGAACGGACTAAGGGGCTGTTTGGCAACTTTTGAATAGGTAAGTGCTGAATCAATAAGAGGTCTGAACCATTAAAAGCTAGTATATTGCTTAACTATTCAGAGGCAAATGTCTGATCAATTCAGATAAGAAGTCTTAATCATTCAGACTCTGTATAATACTTAACCATTCAGAGGCAAATGTTTAAGCCATTCAGACATCTGAACCATTAAGAGGCTGAAACAAACAGTTTGAACCATTAAGTGCAGAACCATTCAGACATCTGAACCATTAAGAGGCTGAAACAAACAGCCCCTAAGTCCAAAACAAACTACTTGAGATAAGTACCATTCCGTAACAACAGTCAATATTCATATCTCATCCTTATCTTTAGCATCCTTAATACATACTTCCCCGTCCTATAATGTTTTTCTTGTTTATGTTTACGAGATCTGATCAATTTTATTTTCAATTCTATTTATTTGATTGTAGGTATAAAATTAAAAAATAAAATTTCTATATTTAAAAACTATATAAAAAATTCTACATAACAAGCAATGACAATACTATTTTATTTTATCAAATACCTAATGAAAATAGGTAAAGAAAATGATTAAAGTTTGACCGTGTGAAAAATTATTGAGAAGAACATTTTAGGACGGAGGAAGCATTACATTATTTAGAAAATGAAAAGGCAAACTTTTACGGAGTATTTTAAAATATTGTCAAAGTAACAGATTTTTTTTGGCTAAGAACACAATAAAATCTTTTAATTTGAAAAAGACAGAAACAGATTTTTTTTTTTTGGCTAAGAAGTCAGAACACAAAAAAAAAACTTTTAATTTGAAAAAGACAGAAAACTTTTACTACGTATAAATTTTATAAAGGAGTATTAAAAAACCGCAATATGTGGACACATCAGAGTAGAATTTGTACTAGCACGAAAAAAAATCAGAAAAATAAATGATGAACCCGACGTGAATCGAACACGCAACCTTCTGATCTGGAGTCAGACGCGCTACCATTGCGCCACGGATCCTGTCGTTTAATCTTAGTATAAAAAAATAGATATTTTGTATTTTTATTTTATTCTAACCATCTTTCCGTATCATGTGGTTTTTTCTAATCAGATTCGTTTATGTCCTCCACGAAGAAGATGTCGACGACCTCAATGATTTGCTCCGGTCGGATTACTGCCGGAATAGCGCCAACCACTCTAGTCGTCGCTCTTTATTTCTAAAAATTTGTCAAATCTGAATACGATATCAAATAGGGCTAATAACATGGGTGGTTCATGATTTACAAAAGAGGCGTTCGCCAAAATCCCCACTATTTTTAAAAGTTATTTGTAAAACTCTCGTGGTTTTTAAATAGTGCATATACGCTCTCTCTTATTTATTTTTAGAGTTAAAAATTGACATTTATACCCTTTATTTTTCTCTATCTTCAAGTTTCACTCTTTTATTTTCATTTTTCCTTTATTGTACAAATAAATAAAATAAAGTAAACGCTTATCTCAAATTAAAAAAATTTCATTTATTTATTTTTTCAAAACAAAATAATTTTCTTAGAAAACGTTACAAAAGCAAATGAAAAATAAAAAATTGAATAAAATAAACTTTTTTATTATAAATAAAAGTAAAATAAATAAAATAAAAAATTAGATAATATATACTCACTCTATCTCAAATTAAAAATTTTAACTTATTTAATTTTAAAAAGTAATATAATTTTTAAAGGACTTTTAAAAAATGAAGAACGGAAAGATGAAATAAAATACAGAGTAAAATAAAAAAATCTTTCTTTTCATTACCTTTTCATTTTTTTTTCTTTTACTTCGTACATAATATAATATTTCATTTTTCGATTTTTCATTTTCTTTTTTAACATTCTTCAAAAAAAGTCTTGTTTTCAAAAAGAAAAATAAAAAAAAATTAATTTGAGTTGGGGAGCATATATTTTATTTTATATATTTGCATAATAAAGGAAAATAAAAAATAGAAATCCAAAATAGCTAAAAAGAAAGGGCATAAATGTCATTTTGACTTTAAAAATCGGTAAGGGGAGTATCTATGCTCTATTTAAAAATCATAGGGGCTTTACAAATACTCCCTCCGTTTCTTAAAACCCTTCCTCTTTCGTTTTTTTTTGTTTTTCTTAAAACAATTCCCTTTTCTATTAAAAAACCACTTTTACCCCTACTATTTCATACTCTACCTATCACATCATACTTTTTCTCTAATACTCAATCCATCACATCTTACTTTTACCCATCAAATCAAGAGCAAAATTGGAAAGTCAACTACAATTTAACACTTCCTTATTTTTCCTCAAAGTCAAAAGAGGAACCGTTTTGAAAAACGAAGGGAGTAACTTTTAAAAATAAAGGGGGTTTTTCGCCCTTTTTGTAAATCACAGGAGCACTTTTGCTATTAGCCCTTATCAAACATAGGTATTTTCATCGACTAATAAAATAACATTTTATATAAAATACTATTTTATATAAAATTAAATTTCACGGACATTTGAAAATATTTTTAATATCAATTTTGAAAGCAATGAATTTAATAAAAACTTTGATCTTTTTTTGTGCAAATTTAAAAAATTGATATGAATGCAGAATGCCATTCGGGAAAATGTTTAGAGGTTTTTTTGCAGATTATTGATTCGTGGCAAAAAAAATATTTTATTTTCTCTAAATAATACTCCATTTAGATTCAAACTCACGAACTGGTGTACGTGTAAAGATATACATACTTTCAGATATATGATACAAATCTTTTTTGACTGAAGTTATTTTTAACTAGATTCTCACCCTTTCGTTGCACGGAAAGAAATTTTAGCTTTTTTTTAAAAATTTCTGAGGTCTTAAAATGTACTTCGTATTGTATTATGTATACAGAGTTACATAGTACTTCAAATGTAAAGTTCTTTCATATATCATTCATTTATTGTTTGTAAGCAATACTATCTAAAGTTGCACTATAGTTCCTTAACATGTTAAAAATAAGGATAAAGCTATTTGTACCTCATGTTTTGTACCCCACTTTGTATCCCGTAGCTTTGCACCAACACTTTGTGTTGGTGTAAAACTAATTTTTGTTAATGCATCAATACTTTGTGTCTGTGTAAATTTTCGTTAACGCACCAACACTTGTGTCGGTGTAAACCATCAAAATGTTTGTGTATAACTGTGGTGTACAAATGGGGTACAATTTGTGGTGTAAGTGTAGCATAACCCTAAAAATAATAGTTTAGATCAACTAATGAAGAAGTAATACAAAGAAAATCAACCACAACATCAAATTAGCAGAAATTAGTGTATAAAATTAACATCTTATGACTTGGTGCGGCACAATGACTTATGTAGGCTACTCTTTCGTAGTTGTCTTGTGCCAAATATATATTTAAAGATTACATTTAATTAGCGGACTGCAGAAATTTAATTTACCATGCCTTTTAATTCTGGATATAATATGGAATACACTCACACTTTCCTTCAATAACATCTATTCAATTGATACGGTATCGTATCGGGATAGGAAAGGATTTCGAGCACCTTCTATTATATTATTGGGTCAAATCCTATTTGTATTAGGATTAGTTTTTATATATGTTGTCTTGTATCTTTTATTATTCTTATGTAAATTCATTACTCTATTATTAGTGTATGGTATCGAAGCTAAGGTATTTCTTTTTAAAAACTTAGCCTCCATTTTTATATGACTGTGCATCTCTGTTGGTCTTCATCATCGACATACGACACTCAATCGCCATGGCCTCACTGTCTCTTAACCCTTTCTCTCTCTCCAAAAAAATTTGAGCATGCCTAACATCCATTGTCCCTTATCCCCTCACTCCAAAAAAAATTGTGTGTTTGAAAAATTGAAAAATTGAATTTTGCCCGTGTTTCGTCTAGAATTAGAGTGCATGAAAAGTGATAGAGAAGCAGAGAACGGCTTAAAATTATTTTCAATTCAATTTGTTTGATTATATGTTTAAAATTTAAAAATAAAACGTATCTATTTAAAAACTAGATCAAAAGTTTTACAAAATTAGATGTGATCTGAAATAATTACTAAAAATAAGCAAATAAAGTGCCTAAAATTTGACAGTTATGAATAATAATTCAGAAGATGATTTTAAGAGGGAAGAAGTATATATATCTTAATTTACCATTTTTTTATTATTATTGTTCGGCTGGTATATGGGGAAACTTTTAAGATGTGAATTTGTTTTTTAATTTTTAAGGTAGATGTGAGAGTTGCCACATGCTGGGCATCAATGGGGTGAAGAATAAGATGCGTACTGCTGCAACTAGTGGGATTCAGTCTCAGCTTCTACTCAGAATATTATAATTGAAGCACTCACTTTTCTTTTGACTGCTAAACTCAACTGTGACATTACCTTACCAAACCATGTCGGATAATTTAAGATTTATGCTACATACCTATAAATTTTGTCATGATAAATTTCATAGCTATCATACTCCCCCTCCCCAATTTGATTATAAATTAAGGTTTATGAAGAGAAATATCTCAATTATTTACAATTCGATATATTAATAAGAAATAAAAATTACATATTAAAAAATTACGTCAAAAGTTCTACAAAACAAGAGGTGACAATAATATTTTATCTTATCAAATACTACGTAGTACTTAATGAAATTGCGTAAACAAACAAAAGTTATCGAGAGGAGAGAGGGAAAAAATTGTAATCAAATTGGGAATGTATGAAGTATTTAATTTAATAAAAAAGTAAAAAAAATACGGAGTAATAATTATGGGGCTTTATGCACCACACCACGTTTTCATGGAGCCCCTTGATAAAGTACCTTACATATGGTGGATAACGCCCTCTCGGGGCTCAATGGCTACACATAGTCTAAAAGTACTCCCTCCGTCCCCCAGTTTTTGTCCACTTTTGACTTTTGGAACTGTTCATCTAAGCACTTTGACTCATCAAATTCTCTCAATGTGTAAGCCTAAATATAGTCATGTGTGATCTTGTTTGATTTGTCTTAACATATAGATTATTAATATATAATTTTTATAATTTTTTAATATACAAATTACAAGATAAAATGGATTAAAGAAGTGCATTGGATGGTGTGTAAAAATGAAAGTGGATAAATACTCTGGGACGGAAGGAGTATTTTGTTAATTAGTATTNTCAATGGCTACACATAGTCTAAAAGTACTCCCTCCGTCCCCCAGTTTTTGTCCACTTTTGACTTTTGGAACTGTTCATCTAAGCACTTTGACTCATCAAATTCTCTCAATGTGTAAGCCTAAATATAGTCATGTGTGATCTTGTTTGATTTGTCTTAACATATAGATTATTAATATATAATTTTTATAATTTTTTAATATACAAATTACAAGATAAAATGGATTAAAGAAGTGCATTGGATGGTGTGTAAAAATGAAAGTGGATAAATACTCTGGGACGGAAGGAGTATTTTGTTAATTAGTATTACGAAATATATTCCAAAGTACAGAGTCTATATACAATATACTTGATAATTCATATCAAAAATAAAAGTATCATAAAAATTCAAAAGAAAATAATCCCTCCGTCCCTAAAAAATTGTCACATTTTGATTTTTTTGATCAAATTATGACACCATTTAATCGTGTATTATGGAAAATGTATATTTAGTTATAATGTAAATTTAGTAAAAATTAGGTTTGTTTTAAAATATAGTTTTGAAATGTCAATTTTTTATAATATTTAATTATTTTAAACTATATTTAATTTGTGGTTAAAAGGTGCCATAGTTTGACCAAAAAAGTCAAACTGTGACAATCTTTTAGAGACAGATGGACTATTTTCATTTATTCGAAAGAAAATATGAAACTTTTCCGAAAATAAAATAGGAAAAATTTACAAAAAGACTCTGAAAAGTCTCTGATTTTACAAGAATACTCCGAAAATTAATTAATTACACCATCAGTCCATCACTCCCAAAATTGTATCCTTTTACAAAAATACTCCACCCTACATCTCACTTGCACAATAAAGTTGTGTAATATGTAAAAATATTTTTAAAATGATGATTTGAAAATAAAATAATTTTCTTTAAGTTTTATAAAAAATTAAATTACATATTCCTCCTCCAACTCAAACATTAATCACGTCTCTCACAACTAGAGCATGTCATTTTCGATTGAAATTCTAAAATTAGATGTTGGAAGAACTATAAGATACTAGAAACAATTGAAAACTAACTTTTTTTTATCTAAAAGAACAGACTCAGGAGATTGATATTTGATTTGAAGAAATAATAAATAATTTAATTTTTTGTATTAAAACTGATATTACCTCCGTCCTAGAGTATTTGTCCACTTTCATTTTTACACACCATCCAATACACTTCTTTAATCCATTTTATCTTGTAATTTGTATATTAAAGCATTATAGAAATTATATATTAATAATTTATATGTTAAGCCAAATCAAAGAAGATCACACATGACTATATTTAGGCTTACACATTGAGAGAATTTGATCAGTCAAATTGTTTAGATGAACAGTTCCAAAAGTTAAAACTGGACGAATACTCCGGAACGGATGGAATAAAAGTTATTATTGTCTAAGTGAGCACTTCAAAAAATCATGCAAATATAACTCCATCCACAATATGATGGAGCAACCGAGCAAGTGAAGGTAGCGGGTGAGGTGTTCTTGTAAATAGAGACAAATTTTGAAAGTAATGAGGTAATTAATTGATTTTCAAAGTATTCTTGTATAATCAAAGATTTTTCGGAGTAGTGGTGTAAAATTTTCAGTCATTATATCAGAAATTTATGACTACTTCACATCACAAAGATTTTCATGCTGGAGATGAACATTCATGCCGGTGATTAATTTACAATATTTCACTAGTCATCATAAGCCCAACATTTCTCGTCTCTTTTCTTAACTACAAACATGAGATTAATTACATCTTGATTCTCGTCATTAATTCTCAAGAGAATAAAGCGAGAAATTCCAAGAAACGTCCCATTTCTGGTTCTCTAATCTCAACCAGAATAATACTGTGTTTGTGGTTGAAACTGAAATGGCATAATCTGAGTGCAAAAGTAAGGGGAGACGAACATGTTTGTCGGGTGAGTGGTTATTGCGGTCTGTTTGTTGTAATCCGGAGGAGGCGTTTGGGTTTCGTCGAGGTTTACTGTGGTTATGTCGTGAATGCTGGCTCTCCTCTTGTCCTTCCCGCCGCCGGAGATCTGCCGGATGAAATACTTCTGCGCGTGGCTGGCCACTTGGGTCGGCGTCCTGGTGACGACGAAGTTGCGGGAGATGTTTCTCCAGTCGCCTTTCCCGTATTTCTTCAGACCCATCAAGAACAGTCTGTCAGGCAAATCGTCGAACACCTTGTCAGCATATGTATTTTCAGTGATTCAGATAATCAAACAAGTTAAATGGCTTTGTTGGAAAGAAAAAGGGTTACCCACTTGTGTTCTTCCTCGGTCCAGGGGATACCCTTCTTCCGTTCGGGCTCCGGCGGGCGGTGGGACGGAGATCTCTTCCCGCCGGCACCGAGGAACTGGGTCCGAGCGTCGAATGGGCCGGGGCGACTCCATTCCAAGGTGGCCGGGAAGGGGAAGGGGTCCATATGTCCGGCCTCAATGCTGCAAATATCATCCTCCAGTTCCTTGTACTGCCTCATCACGTCCGTGACCGTCTTCCCCGGCACCATCGCCGCCACCTTCCTCCACCGGTCTGGCGTGTCCCTGTCGTACAGAGCAAGCGCGCTCTCGAAGGCCTTGTTCTCAGCCGCCGTCCATTTGGTCTCCTCAAACACCCAGATCGAGTTCGTCAGGTAAGGCGAGGAAGAAGTTGCCGCCGCCGGCGAAAGAATCTCCATGTCTTCCGATGTGGAGGTGGAGGTCCAACAATGGCGATTTTCTGTATTTAAATCAAGAAAACCCCCCGGAGTTGAAGGAATCAGAACCCTATCTTTGTGTGGGCAGGCACCCTTGAGGAGGAATCGATCAAAGACTTGTCTTTTCAAAAAGAAAATCTAGAAAACTAAAATATGCAGCAGACAGAGAGAATTAGATCGTGTTCCCCGCCAAGATCCCAAACCACTGAGATCATCTTTCCGAGAAAACCCAACACTATTTACAAGATTCTTTACACAGGAAAGAGAAACTGAGGTAGAAAGAAAGAAAAAGTGGGAATTCTTCGGCTTGAAACTTTTGATTCCCTCTTTAGAAAAGAAGAAGTTGAAGATGTGAGGAAAGAAAGGATAGAAAAATGATATGACTTTGATGCTAGGAAAGAAGATGAATCCTAAGAGGCTAAGAGTAAGAGCACTAGAAATACCATGAAGCCTCGGTGCTTCAACATTTCTCCCTGACATGTCAGCCTTACCTCACAAATTCACTAGAAATGGATTTGAATCCTCGGGGATTCAAACTGGGTTTCAAACATTCATTTTTTACATTTTTAAATACTCCCTCCGTCCGGTATTAATGTTTACGTTTTGACTTTTGGTCATTTTTATTGATGGTTAACTCTAAGGTGAATTAGTCCAAAATACCCTTCCCATGTCTAGCTTCACCACACCACTAATTTCTGCAACCCCTTTGCCGCTAACCCCCCGTCCGCACCCTGTCTCCGGCAGCCTCCCTTCCTGGCCATCCCCCAACACAATCATTAGTTTCAACATCACTGCCACAGCACTTCCGTCGTCACCGCCAGGTCTGCCCCCCATCGCCTCCAATTCGTCCCTTATCACAACCACAACCCTACCACCGCTGCCAATCCCACCATCTCCGCCAGAACTCTGTCACCGCCGGCCCTCCATCACTGCTAGCACTTTCGCCGCCATCCCCCATCTCTGTAAGATTACAGATCTGTTTAGATCTAGAAGAAAGATGGAGAAGGATGATGAGGAAGAAGAAGTCAGATCTACACAAAGAGAAAGAAGAAAAAAAGAAAAGAAAAAAATGGGGAGCTGGGAGGAGAAGGAAAAGAGAGAAGAAAGAGTGAGGATAAGAGAGAATGAAGATAAGGAGAGTGGTGCGGTGGAGAATAGAAAGGAACGGTGGGGGAAAAGATAAAGATTAAGGAAGGAAAAGAAGAAGAGAAAGAAAGGTAGAGGGGTATTTTTGGAAGAGTATGGGTTAAAATTAGAAATGTAAACTTTATTTTCGGACGGAGAAAAAGGAGAAACGTAAACTTTATTTCCGGACGGAGGGAGTATACATTTTCTAAAACTAAATTAATAAAATGTAATTAATTTATTAATTAATTATATTGAAACACGAATAATAAAAAATACATTCATTAAATTTAAAAAATTGAAACGACAATAATTTAAAATTTAAAAAATTACACTCATTAAACTAAAAAAAACGGCAATAATAAAACAAATACATTAATAAAAAACTAAGATACATTATATTTCGCATTGATCTCTCTTTGTCTTTGCTCGTAGATCATCTGTTTGAAACTTGAGAATTAGATCGTGTTCCCTGCCAAGATCCCAAACCACTGAGATCATCTTTCCGACAAAACCCAACACACTATTTACAAGATTCTTTACACAGGAAAGAGAAACTGAGGTAGAAAGAAAGAAAAGTGGGAATTATTCGGCTTGAAACTCTTAATTCCCTCTTTAGAAAAGAAGTTGAAGGTGTGAGGAAAGAAAGGATAGAAAAATGATGACTATGATGCTAGGAAGAAGATGAATCCTAAGACGCTTAAGAGTAAGAGCACTGCAAATACACGTGGCTTCAAAATTTCCCCCACGTCAGTTTTAACTTACCTCATAGATTCACTTAAAATGGATTTGAATCCCTAGGGCTTCAAACTGGGGGTTCAAACCTTCATTTTTTACATTTTTAAATATACATTTTCTAAAACTAAATTAATAAAATGTAATTAATTTATTATTTAATTATATTGAAATACGAATAATAAAAAAAATGCATTCATTATATTTAAAAAATTGAAACGACAGTAATTTAAAATTTAAAAAATTACATTCATTAAACTAAAAAAACGACAAATATAAAAAAGATACGTTAATAAAATAAAGAGAAAAAGTGTACCGTTTACCCCTGAATTGTTTGAAAATTACACGGTTTACCCCCGAACATTAAAAAATGCATCAAATAACCTTGAATTCTTTATAAATTGCACGTTTTGCCTCAGAACAATAAAAATTACACTAAATACCCATGAACTCTTCAAAAAGTATAGTGTTTACTCCTGAACATTTAAATAAAGACGATAATTTTGGAGAAATGTACTTTGGAGAATTCACAAGGGCCAGATGAATCTTATTCGCAATTCTTGTGCGTGGAAGCAATGCACTCCCTATCTAATAGTTTAGGACCAACGATGCAATGATTTAATTTGTTCAAGGGTATTTGATGTATTTTTAGTGTGCAGGGGTAAATCGTGCAATTTTTCGAAGAGTTTGAGGGTAAACGGTGCACTTTTTAAAGTTTAGGGGTAAAACATGCAATTTCTTAAGACTACTGGGGTAAACAATGCACTTTACTCATAAAATAAACTAAGATAAATTATATTTCACCTTGATCTCTCTTTGCCTTTGCTCGTAGATCATCCGTTTGAAACCCGATAACATAGAAAGGTCGGTTTCCATGATTTAGATCTCGTCCTCCTGCTCCTTTTGCTTCATCTCATGCTCCTTTAGCTTTATCCTCTCTTCTTCTCGAAGATTGAACACCCGAAGTTGTTCAACTATTACCCGACCGATTTCGTCGTGAGAAGAAACGGAAACAGAGCCGGACCCTCCCCAACCCGAGGCAATGGATTTTGCCTTCTTTCTTCCGATCGGCCGTGGAATGGGGTCCTCGTCATCGTAATCCGCAACGTTGAAGGGAGGAATTTGTTCCGACGAACCGATAATGTCGTTGACCTCAACCTCGGTGTCGACGAGGATCTTTTCTTTGACGATCCACCGTCGAGATTGTTGAGTTGTTGCCACTTCGGGGAACGGCTCAAAATCCTCCAAAGATTGATGGGAACCTTGCCTTGGTGCCCGTCATCTTGATACCGAGTCGTGGCAAGTCGAAGAACATCGGCGTTGTTCGTCCCGCTCCTCCAGGACCGGGCGCATTCCTCGTAAACTCTGATAAACTTTCGGACTTTACGCTTGATGTGGCTCCATTTGGAAGTGAGTTGGTCCCGGGTACGGTAGGAGCCGTCCTTGTTCATCTCCGTGAAGAACTTCTCCTCGATACGATCCCACATCGCATCCTTCGTTTGCTCCGAATCTTTAAAAAAGTATAACACGAAATTTTTTTATGACACGATTAAATATAATTTTATATAAATAAAAACATAAATAAGTTAGAAAATATATAATTTTTACCAACGATAGAATGCTCGGAGACGTCAACCCAAGCCGACGCCAATAAGCACTCTTCCTCCGGCGTCCACTTTTGGATTGACCGTGCCGCCTGGTCATCGTGCCTTTTGCTTTGTGGCTTTTCTGGCGTGTACTTTTTTTAGAGTCGGATGGTCCCGGTTGAGTCTTCGGAACCGAATCTTGCTCGACGTACCCCGATTGTTGCGTCTCGAACATCGGCGAATGATTCCCGTATTCTTGGAAATACCACATCGCGGACTCGTGAGGCTCGAGATTGTCGGGAAAGAAGTCGGAGTCGAAAGAATTCATGTTCAAAAGAGAGGGGTGTGGGAGTTTGAAAATGAAGAATTTGTGAAGAAGATTAAAGAAGATTGAAGGTGTGAGAATGAGAGGGGGGAGTTTGAAATTTATTAAAAAAATAAATAAATTTTTTTTGGGTTTCAACGGCTAAATTAGCCATTAGGGGGAGGGGAAGATGCATAAAACCAATGACGCCGACCACATCATGCCCGGATGAAGCCAATGGGGGGCGGTGTTTAACGCCCCCAGCGTTAAAACCGGCAAAGCAGGTTGTTATTTCTAAATAGATAGAACTGTTTATTAAAAGGTTTTTTAGATGATATTCTTCGATATAATTTTAAACAATTTATAATGTTTATTTTAAAATTTATGAAATTATATTTTAACTTTTATTTGTTGTATTCTCATCCTATAAAATTTAAAATTAATTATCCATATTTAATACTTGGTCCGTCTCTGAGTGTTTGTCCACTTTTGACTTTTGAAACTGTTCATCTAAGCACTTTGATTCATCAAATTCTCTCAATGTGTAAGCCTAAAAATAGTCATGTGTGATCTTGTTTGATTCGTCTTAACATATAGTTTATTAATATATAATTTTTATAATTTTTTAATATACAAATTACAAGATAAAATGGATTAAAGAAGTGCATTGGATGATGTGCAAAAATGAAAGTGGACAAACACTCAGGGACGGAGGGAGTAATTCTTTATTTCGAAAATAGACTAATTTAGAAAAATTTAATTGGAATGGACCATTTTAAGAAACTAGCATAAGTTCTAAAGTCATTTTGATGCTGTTTCCATAGGCGTTGGTCGGTTGGAATAAACTGAGCATTATTCTAAATCAATGAATATTATTCAGATAATTAATTTATGTTGGGTAACTAATTTAAAAAAATACATGCGGAGTATGTACTTTGTAAATCCATTTGGAAAAATTCATATCATTATTCCCAAAATTGCATAATTTTACATAAGTACTCCAAGATTTAATAAATGACACCCATGCTCTCAGAATTTTCGTATGTTTACATCAATACTCCAACATTGAAATATGTTTACATCTGTACTCCAACATTTGGAGCATAGATATACGTAAACACAAATGAATTCTTAGAGCAGCAATGTAAATATACAGGGGCGGAGGGAGGGGGGCATGCCTGGGCAAGTGCCCCCCCGACGAAATTCCGGCGAAATAGGGTAGAGGTACCCATCGGAGAAGGGAGGCCGGATTTGCCCCCCCAGATTGGTCCGGCAGGCGGCACTGCGGTCTACGGCAGCAGGTCGAAGAAGAAGGAGGCGGAGAAATTGCTGAAGAAGAAGAAAACGTACGACGTCGTTTACTTAAATGTTTAAAGAAAATCTTTTGGGCTTTGAGCCTTTGACCCATCCCAACACTCCAGAAGCCCAATTGCCCTAAAAAAATACGGACTAAGCCGGAAACCAAACGACAAGTCACGGAGTAACTCATAGTTGTTTTTCAAATCTTTGTTTGCTAATCCGTATTTGGTGATGATTATGGGATGCTTTTTACTACCAAGTACGGAGTATTTAAGTATCAAATTATGATGCTGGATGCTTATTACTATAAAACTAATTTGTTATGTGTTAAATTGAAATTAGGGATTATTTTTTTAAAATCAAGACTTTGAAAAAATTTAAATTAGCATATGCAATAATAAATTAAATAATATTCTATCTGTCCTAGAATTATATTTCTTCTTCACTATTTCGAAATCACAGAAATTTTTGTTTATTTGTATGTTTTTATTTATTATTTGATAAAATAAAATATTCTTGTAACCACTCATTTTGTATAAGATTTGACGTACTCCGTAATTTTTGAATATGTAAGTTAGATTTTTATTTATATATCAATCTTTAAATTAAATGAATTAAAAAAATTTTAAATCTTACTTCGTTTTGTGAACTACGACTATCATTTTTGGTTATTTTTTGGCATAATTCGAATAACATTGTTTGTTATTTCATTTGATAAAATCTGACGCTATTCTTCAACCCCACAGTATACTATTGTGCCCCTCAAAGGTCCGACCCTGGCTCCGCCACTGTAAATATATGAAAATTTTGAGAGTATTGATATCATTAATTAAATCTCGAAGTATTTATATAGAATGGTACTACCTCCGTCTCAAAGTATTTGTCCACTTTCATTTTTACACACCATCCAATACACTTCTTTAATCCATTTTATCTTGTAATTTGTATATTAAAAAATTATAGAAATTATATATTAATAATCTATATGTTAAGACAAATCAAACAAGATCACACATGACTATATTTAGACTTATACATTGAGAGAATTTGATGAGTTAAAGTACTTAGATGAATTGTTCTAAAAGTTAAAACTTGACGAATACTCCTGGACGGAAGGAGTATAATTTTGAAAGTAATGATGTGAATTTTTCCAATCCATTTTCAGTTTTTTCGCATTTCATTTGTTCAAACCTGAGGGGGACCTAACATTGGAAAATAATCAGAAAAGAAAAAGAAAAGCACAGAAATGGAGAAGCCAAAAGCTTTAATGGAAGGAACGAGCAAGGAGGAATTGGAGATACTGTCCTCCCTCACCTTTCATCCTCACCGCGTCAGCGTCGAGTCCAGTTTCTACGAGTACTACGCCGTCAGGGGAATCCGAGTCGACCGAGTCGAACCCGGCGCCGTTTCCTGCACTTTCAAAGTCCCCCGTCGCCTCACCGTGAGTCCGATCAACTCTCCTGCCCTATATTCTTCCAATTCTTCCTTCCATTACCGTTGATTTCCGGTTTCTGAGCTCCGATTTTTTATTTATTTATTTGTGGAGAAAACGTTCCGATTCGATCTTTGCAGGATAGAGATGGAATACTGGCATCTGGTGCGATTGCGAACCTAGTTGATGAAGTTGGGGGCGCGGTTGTGTACGTGGAGGGCCTCCCAATGAATGTGTCTGTGGACATGTCCATCTCTTACCTCTCTACTGCAAAACTTAATGTAAGCCTCCTGTCTCTATCAGACAGTCTTATTCCCAGCATTTTTTTTACCTATTTAATCTGCTGTTGATCTGAATTTAGTTTTATTTATCGATATTTTGACTCGTATATTTCACAGAAACAATTTGTGTTGCTTTTTGGCTCTTCATTGTTCATTCATTTGCCTTATATTCACACTATGTTTGGTTCACGGAATTTGAAAGGAAAAAAATAGAAAATAATTGGGAAAACAATTTTTCATGTTAGGTTAGAGAGGGGAAAAAAGAGAAGTGGAAGAAGAAATGAACTATAAAGAAGGAAAACACTTTTCCTTTCATTTCTTCTGAATTTCACGAACCAAACATGGGGTTAAGTTATTGCTCTTCTATTTGGGATTCTGCATTTTTTTATAGTGTTTCTGGTTTATCTCAGGAGCTCTTTGATAAAAAAAGAAATAAAAAGAACAAAACAGCTTTGTGTGCATTTTCTGTTATTGCATAAATAATCTATTATTTCCATTTCCCTGTGGAGCCAAAGATTCACTATTTTTTGGCTTTGGGATACGATGAAATAAATTATTGAATCAATTTAATCTATTATTTCCATTCCCCTGTGGAGCCAAAGATCCACATTATTTTTGGCTTTGGGGTATGATGGAATAAAGCCAATTAGCTCTTTAAATTGTCTGTCCTTCTTGCAATTGTGAAGTAGCAGTTAGTCAATGCAACTTTCGACACTCATCATGGTTCATTTGGAAATAGTCGCTCTATGTTTTAAACATAGGGGTTAGACTGTGTATATCTTTCCCCCTACCCCACAATGGGCGGGAGCCATTTTGGCGCTGGGGTAATGTAGTAGGTAAGATCTACATTCATTTGACCCAAAATACCCTTGTCTTGAGTGGGATATATTGGGTTTGTTTGGTTTGGTTTTCTTCTATGACAATTTGCAACCCTTTTATGATGAATTCGAACAATCTTATCAGTTTTGTGGATACAGAGCAAAACTGCACAAGGGTGATCCTGTGTAATCCTTAGCATGTTACTACCTCCGTCCCATAAAAATCTTCTATGTTTAACTTGCACAGAGTTCAAGAAAAGTGGAAAAGGTGTGGTTAGAATTTGTTAAAAAGATACTTTTTTTAGCCTCATACTTTTTTCCTTGAGAGGAAAGTGAAGATATTTTGGGACGGACAAAAAAATGAAGATTTTTGCGGGGTTAGGAGTATTATACGTAGTATATGCTTTAAGGTAAACTGGAAGCATGTATGTTTCAGAAGCGATAAATTGGAAGCATGTATGTTTCAGAAGCGATAAATTGGAAGCATGTATGTTTCAGGAGCAGGGTTAATGTGATTTTCCTCTACCCTTTGATCAACTCCACCAAATACATAGACGCATATTTGTGGCTGAAAAGATATAATGATTAATTGAACTGAAATATCCAAGAATGTATTTAAAATGCATTCTTTTGTTGATTTAAAGGAATATTTTCATCAAAAGATGTTTATACAAATGTCAATTATCTTCATTTCCTCCAAAAGACGAAGAAAGATATTAATTTCTGTAGTATTTTCCTCATCTTTAGCAGAATTAAGTTAATGTAGCACTACAGGTTAGTGTTTGATAGAAAATATGTGGCAAGTAGAAATTCNTCATAACATGTTTTGGGATGCAATTCCATTAGGAAAGCACTTCTTCCATGGCAAAAAAATAAAATAAAAATATGCCACGTCTGGGGGGGGGGGGGTAGAACGGGATAACTTTCGTTGTCAAAGGCAGGGGACCTCACCTTGACACTGAGGGTTGTGAGTTACATTGTTTTTAGGAAAATGCTAGAGTCACAAACATATAGTTCACAAATTTCACAAACTTGCCTTTTTGGATTTTAAATTAAAATATTTTTTATTATTTGAGTGCATCTTATTTCTAGGAAGGTGTTAAAAAGGCAAGTTTGTGAATTTTGTGAAATGTTTGTTTGTGACTCTAGCATTGTTGTTTTTAGTCTTAAATAAAGTCAAACATGTGCTACCAAATTTGAACGACAGGTTTGGGGTTACATAATGTCAAACCATTGGGGGGAGTAAAATCTTTTATTGTTGTGCATAGTTTTAGAAACTACTAAATGGGAGATGGAATTATAATGAGCTAATTGAGAGGGAGAGGAAGCATCACGTCATTCACGTGTAGGGAGAGGCTTATAATGTGCTGCTAGAAGAACCCATTAAACGTGATTCGTCCATTCATGCTGCAACAACATATCCTGTACAATCCCAACATCATCGGGGTTTAGTCAAGATACATGCAACCTTTCTCCTGTAAAAAAACATAGAGGTCGTTTCGGTTAGTGGCATTGTTGCATTCACTGACCAAAACTACATTAGAAGTAAGAAGCATGGGAAGTTTAATGTACTATTTTCATATAGTTTTCCGCCCCCAATGAGATGGGGAATTTGTACTCCATTATTTAATGAAAGCTAAAACATTGTCAAAATTACTCTTTTAGCTCCATTGCCAATGGAGCTAGAGAAGAAGAAGAAGAAGAAGAAGAAGAAGAAGAAGAAGAAGAAGAAGAAGAAGAAGAAGAAGAAGAAAGAAAGAACAGCTTAAATCACCAAATGAGTCGTCAACTAAGATAGCCTCTTAACTGCATTTTCTTTCATGGCTTGGCTTCATAATTAGGTTAGGTATTGAATGAACATTATATGTTGGCATGTGTTTGTGTTTGAATTCCCCTTCTATTTTAGTGACACTGTGTGTGGCTGGCTTACTGGCAGGATGAACTGGAGATTACTGGGAGATGCCTAGGTAAAAGAGGTAGTTATTCTGGGACAAGTGTCCTTGTGAGAAACAAAATGACAGGGGAACTTATTGCAGAGGGGCGACATTCTTTGTTTGGTAAACATGTGAGTAAGATGTGATTGAATGCTCTGTGTTTTTTTTCCCATCTTCTTCCATCCAAAAGAATAGTTTAAGAGGAAAGAACTAACAGATACTCCGTAAAAAACATTAATGGTATGTGTGCATGAATGCCCTAAACGGAAAAATTCTGTTCTTTTCGAGAAGGTATATGGTACAACCGGATGTACTATACATCCAGGTAGTACTCATTCTGGAGTAGAGTAGTACTTATTCTCGCACAAATATAATTAGTATGGTACTCATTCTAAAGTAATGTAGTACTCATTTTCACACATTGGTTCAATATAATTATAATATTCATCTACAAATAATGTAGTGTTCATTCTGAAACAAAACAGTACTCATTCTCAAATAACTTAGTGTTCATTCACATGAAAAATAAAATCCATACAATAAATAATTTTTTGGTTGTACCCAAAATTGGGTACAACTGGATGAATAATATAATTTGCGGTTCTTTTCTCTGTTGGATGTGGTGATTATGATGGTACCATGCAAAAGATGACTGAAAGTTAAGAATGAAACGAACCAAAACATAACATAAATTTTGGGATGGAGGGAATTATTGTTTCTCAGTACAAGAAGATTTTCATTATATTTATCTTACAAAAAACTTTCAAAAAAGCTATTCTACTATATTGCTCATTCCGAAAAAAACTTTACCTATTTTCCTTTTTAAACGTCTCAAAAAACTCTTCTGACCTAATTTCTTTTTTTTAGATAATAAAATATGGCAGATAAGATTTTTCTTTCATCTAAATATTTTTTTATTATACACTTTTCATTTTTCCATACCTTTTAAAACTTCACGTAAAAAGATCCGAACTACTCCAGAGATGAACAAAAGGTCCGAACTAGCAATCACTTAAAAAGGTCGAGTACTATTTAAGAAAAGGTTGACCCGATTTTTCCGTAACTAATCTGGATTAGTCAGGTCTTCATAAAAAAATAAGGATTTTGGAGATGTAATAGTCTGATTAGAATCGGTCTGGTTGGATCTTTTTTTTAACAAGTAAATTTTTTAATGTTTGCTCTTTAAACAAATAATCTTACTTTTGATTATTTAATTTCTTTAATCTCTATGCTCTCTGATTCTTACTTTTGATTATTTAATTTTTTTTAGGAGTACTTCATATGTTTTGTACTTTGAAATTCTTATTTTTGTTAACACTTGTTTTTAAGGGGGGTGTATTCAATCCGGATTTTGATAGATTTTTTTTGGATTCTGAAAATCCGTAGGTATTCAATTCAGAATTTTAAAAGTCATTTAACATCTGGGTGTATTCAATTCAAACTTTAAAAAATCTTTCTAAATATGATGGTATTCAAAAATTGATGGATTTTTAAAGATTTTAAAAATTATGGATTTTGATGGATTTTCATGCCTTGGGTATAAATACAAATCCAATTTACAAATCCAATCAAAAACCATGAGATTTTGCCCACTCCTATTCTCTTTCAGCCTGAAGTCGTTCTTCATCTACGGTCCCTAAAACCCTAACATCTCTCCCGTGCTTCTCTTCTCCAACGTGCGCCACCGCACGGACCTTTACCCAGATAAATCGTCGACACCGGCCTTCTTCCTGCCGGCGAAGGAAAACAGCATCCCACCATCAATTCCCGCGAGATCCAGACCGCCTGCGATTGGTTCTTCGAGAATTGGCCAAGCACGCTGTCTGAAGGTACCAAGGCCGTCACCAAATTCACCAGCCTCCTCTGTCGTGGGTCTCTTCATCAATACTTTCTTCAAATATAATTTGGTCTCATCTTTCGTCATCAGCAGACAGATCCGAAGGAAGAATAGGTCAATTTCGTGCAGCATCAAGTTTTCTTCTGGAAATTTCATGAAGACAAAATCCCCCTCTTTGTTCATTAATTGAAGGTAGATTAGTCGAAAGAATTGAGCTAGTGTTTTAAAGTTTCCAATTATCAAAATCAATTATAAGGATTAACTTTAGTTATAAAAAAAAGCAATATTATATGTTGGTGTTGAGCTTTATAATACTCCGTAATAATAACAACAACAACAACAACAACAATAATAATAATAATGTTTTAAAAAATAATTTATTTTTATTTTATAATGTTATTTTTAGAATTTTTGGTCAATTTCATAAGTAATAATCAATGTTAGGATAATGCATAGATTTTTAAAATAACTCAAATGTATATATAAATAAGCAATCTATCACAATCTTATAAAATCCTACTAACAAAATACATCAAAATCTATCTAACTCTGCACAGATTTTAAATAATCCACTGATTTTACAGAATCCATGGAATTAAAATAATCTGTCAGAATCTTTAAAAATCTGGATTGAATACACCCCCTAAATTTTCAACTAAAAAAATAAAATACTATTCTCTATATTTATGTGAGGATAGCTTCGTATTACCTTTTTTTTTGCTTTGGTGGGTTGGTTTTTTGGGGTATTCTCCCAATATATGCAAAAAAGAAAAAAAAGCATTATGTTATGAAATTAATGATTGTTCATTTATTTAATTAATAAGACCTATTTTCTAGAATAGTAGATTAAGACACTCGTTTTAAATAGTATATTTGTACGGTCCTTCCCACTTGTATTTGTATTCATGTTAAGCTTCTCAACTATAAATAAAAGCTTAATATCCCTGCAAAGACACCATTAAGAATAAGAAGAGTGAAGAATTAATACAGAGAAGAAATCAGAAATATATTATATCAATTTTCTTAATCTCTGAGTAGTTTTTCTCTCATTTTATAATACGTTATCAGCACGAATTTGCTCAAAAATCTCAGAATCCTTGTTCTTCTCAGAAGGTATATTTATTTATTATTCTTTATAAACAAACTAAAATATTTTCTTAAAAACTATGAGAAGTATGCTCTGTGATTGCCCAAAGTAGGGATCCTTCACATCATAAACTTATAGCTATAAAATTAAAATTAGATAATTGAAAGGAATAACTTTCCTCATAATAAAAAAAAATCATTTTTTATAAACTAAAAACAAAGAGTAGATATAATACGGAGTAGTTAAGATTGAAAACAAAAATTAATTTTAAAAAAAGCTACTCTTGAAAAAAATTGAAATCAAGATATGATGAATGGTGATTTATGTCGGCTTTGATTCTCCGTCAATTATAAAATATCTTGAACTCATGACTGGTGATTTATTCACAGCTCGGTTTGCTGACTGTCATTTCGATGAGACAGTATTCCCAATCTTAGTGGGGAAAAATGAGAAAAAGAACTCATGTACAAAAAAAATTACATGGAATGCAACAAGATTATCTTTTCTTGATTCAAGAACAAATGCATGCAAACAAGAAGTACAAAAGATAATTCATTTACAAAATATTGCAAATCAATTGCCTGACGCATTCACGGATTTAAAGAAAGTGACAAAGTCACATATTCCGGCTATGAATGCTCCTAACAGAATTGAAATTCCTTCAGAGAAAAATGAAAAAAACTCTTGCAAATGAGTCCTCAATACGCAAAAAGCGTGGCAGGCCACTTGGTTCAAAAGCTGTAAAACCAAGAAAACTTAAAAGGCAAGAGACAAAGTTTGAAACAAAAGACGTTCATTCTTCAAGTAAAGAAAATGAACAAACCGAGCATGTTGATATAAAAAATAATATCAATGAACAATTTGTTTCAAATGAGGATTTAACAATCTATGAAGATGCGAATAATCCAGATGAAGATAGAAGCGTTGATATTATGAGATCTCAATAAATTATGTTTCTACGGGATTACAATGGAACAGAAAAGATGTTTATGTAGATGATATATTCGCATATTCCATTGCCACAAACATCATGGATGAAAATGATGACATTGAACCAACTTCAATTGATGAATGTCGACGTAGACATGATTGACCAAAATGGAACGAAGCAATTTAGGCAGAATTGAAATCACTTGAAAAACGAAATGTTATTGGGCATATAGTTCCTACGCCAAAAGGCGTGAAACCAGTTGGTTTCAAATGGTTTTTTGTTCGCAAGCGCAATGAGAAAAATGAAATTGTGAGATATAAAGCCCGACTCGGTTCCCTAGGTTTTTCTCAAATCCCGGGGATAGATTATAAAGAAACTTATTGCCCTGTAGTTGATGCAACTACCTTGAGATTTTTGATAGGCATGTCTGTCTAAGAAAAACTTCAAATGCGTTTAATAGATGTAGTGACAGCATATTTATATGGATCTCTCGATACTGACATATATATGAAAGTTTTTGGAGGCTTAAAATTGCCTGAGGTTTATAGTTCAAAACCTCGAGAGATGTTTTCCATAAAATTGGAAAAGTCACTATATGGACCAAAATAATCTGGTAGAATATGGTATAATCATCTCATTGAATATCTGCTCAGAGAAGGATATAAAAATGATCCATTAATCCATGTGTTTTCATCTGTAGATCTAAATCAGGCTTTGTCATAATTGCAGTATATATTGATGATTTAAACATCATTGGAACTTATGATGAAATAGAAAACACTGCAAAATATCTCATGAAAGAATTTGAGATAAAAGATCTTGGGAGAACAAAATTTTGTCTTGGTCTTCAAATTGATCATTTGAAAGACGGAATATTCATCCACCAATCAAATTAAACGAAGAAGGTTTTGAAGCGGTTTTATATGGATAAAGCACATCCTCTCACATCCCTATAGTTGTCCGCTCTCTCAATGTACATGATGATCCGTTTCGACCTCATGAAGATGATGAAGAAATACTCGGTCCAGAAATACCATACCTGAGTGCTATTGGAGCTTTGATGTATCTAGCAAACAACACTCGACCAGATATTGCGTTCTCAGTGAACTTGTTAGCCAGACACATCTCAACCCTGACTAGGAGGCATTAGAATGACTTTAAACACATTTTGAGATATCTCAATGGTACCATCGACGTTGGTTTATTCTATCGCAAAGGTGCCAAGGCCACTCTTGTTGGATACGCTGATGCATGATATTTGTCTGATCCACATAAGGCAAAATCTCAAACAGGATATTTTTTTACTTATGAAGATACCGCAATATCATGGAGATCGATGAAGCAAAGTTTGACCGCCACATCATCAAATCACGCGGAGTTGATAGCTCTCTACGAAATAGGTAAAGAATGTGTATGGTTGTGATCAATGATTCAACATATCCTGAGCGAGTCCGGTATAGAAATAATCACTAGTTATCTGACTCCTATATATGAAGACAACACTGCATGCATTGCTCAAGTGAAAGGAGGTTACATCAAAGGAGACCGAACAAAGCATATATCACCAAAGTTCTTCTCAACACATGATCTCGAGAAAGATGGAAAGGTTGACATCAAG